TTTGTGATTTGAGTCAATATTAAGTTTGGGTATGTATTCTAGTTTAATTAATCGCTTAATAGAATTGTAATTTACATGTCCTAAGCGACCATGCCAAACATTTGAACACTCAAGCAAATAAGCAGAACTAGAACTTTCATTATTCATTTTGTTTGTCACCATTACATTCAATTTGAACATGTCATTCAAGGCATATCCTATTCCCACAAACATACCATTTTCGGACAAAACAAACTTGTCCGACTCAAACACTAGCTTAAAACCAAATTGGTTCAACAAACCACCCGACACTAGATTCTTACGAAGTTCAGGAACATAAAAAACATCCCTAAGCTTCACTTCTTTCCTCGAAGTCATTTTTAGAATGACATAACCAACACCTTTGATATCTGTGGTAGCTGCATTTCCCATGTAGAGCTTTTCACCATCTTCAACTTCTTTGTAGGTGTTGAAAACACTCTTGTCATGACACACATGACGAGTAGCCCCCGTGTCAATCCACCACTCCTTTGAATTTGTATTCATGAGATTCACTTCAGAAACCATAGCCGTGAGATCAGTTATCATGGCCACCAACTCCATGTTGTCATTCACCATGTTTGCTTGAAGGTTTTCCCTCTTAGGTTGTGATCACTCCGAAGCCTTGTGACCCGGTTGGCCACAGTTGTAGCACTTGAACTTCTTCTTGAAAGTTCCTGCCTTGGGTCCTAGGTTTTTGCCCTTTGCTTTGCCTTTGTGAGGTCCGTTGCTTTTGCTCTTGGAAGTTTGACCAGCTTCCACCATATGAACCTTTGAAGATTTAACTTCACTGCCTTTCTTTAAGGTCATTAGATTGTCTTCCTCAATCCGAAGACGCACCACCAGTTCCTCCACAGACATCTCATTTCGCTTATGCTTAAGGTAGTTTTTGAAGTCTATCCAACCAGGAGGAAGCTTTTCAACCATTGATGCAACTTGTAATGACTCATTAAGATCCATCCCTTCTGCATTGTTATCATGTATGATGACCTGAAGGTCTTGGACTTGACTCATAACAGATTTTGAGTCAACCATTTTGTATTCCAAGAACTTATCAACAACATGCTTCTTAGTTCCAGCATCTTCTATCTTATACTTCCTTTCCAAAGACTCCCATAGTTCCTTAGCAGTTGCAACTTTACAATAAACATTGTAAAGTGCATCAGTTAGCCCATTCAACACATAGTTGCGGCACAGAAATTCTGAATGCTTCCATGCATCCACTGCATTCACAGATTGAGCATCAGCCTGCCCCTCACCAATTACAGGAGCAGTTTCTGTTAGCAACTGAGCTATGTTCAAGGTGGTCAAGTAGAATAGCATATTCTGCTGCCACCTCTTGAAGTTGAGACCAGAAAATTTTTCAGGTCTCTCAGCATTATTGGCCATGATGTTTGGAACCGGTGCATTTGGGTTCACAGGAGGGGTAGCACCAGCAGCAGGAGTTCCAGTAGCAACAGGAGTTCCAGACATTCTGAAAGAGTCGTAACCACAGTAAAATAGATTACAGGAAAAAATCGATACAAAATCCATTTAGAATAAAAGAACAGAAAAAACGAAAGTTTTAGAACAAAATAGGAATCTGTTTAAGACTATTAGTGTAAAGACTTCGTTTTTCCTCTTGAAAGTTTCCTGTAAAGAAAAAGATTAGTAGCAAACGTGGTGGCTGAGGCTCGAGTTGGACTCGATTCCCTTAAACAGATTCGCCGTCTGTTCCCAGGGTACAAAAACCTTAACAGTGGTGTACTGCCAGATATTTCACTTTCCTTAAAGAGTCGTCGGAAGCAGGAGAAAGAAGAGTATTTTCATTCGTGTGTTGAATGAGATGGTCAATGTCTCCTTTTATACTTGAATCGTGTAATGGAAACAAATCAATGATTGATTGGACATGAGAGTTTGCAAGCGGGCTTCTTGAACACGTGTTGCTCCAACGTGCCTTGCCTTAATTGCATCCCAAAGTTTCTTGGTTGTATCTTGATCACCTATTTGAATGATCAAGCTCTCCAGAAGTGATTGGTATAGCAATCTCATGGCTAAGTCGTTTTTTCTCAACGTTTGTGGTGGTTCCTGGGTCAATTCGTTCCCAAGCTTTGTGAATCCTTAGCACTACCTTCATCCTCATAACCTAAACTGTGTAGTTTGTAGCTGTCAACATCGGGAAGTGAATAGAGGTTGCTCCGATTTCCTTTGATGGTGTTGAATTCGAGGACTCACCCGACATGGTGATCACTCAAATCAGAAAAGAAGAACTCGAAATCAGGAGACTGATTAATAGAAAGCAAGAATCTTGTTCTATGAAAAAAAACAGGAAGCAATCGATTTATGTTTTGTATTAAACAAAAAAACGATGAAGTTATTGTTCACAATTTATTGTTCATGATTTGAACACTATTTTATCGATTGAGGTATGAAAAAAGAAAACTGATAATCTAATGCTTTTGTTGACTGAACCAATTACCAAGTAATCGATTATACAAGAATTTACTTCAATTTATTACCCCTTTAATCAGAACGTGAATACAATAGGAAAACTAAATCGATCAAATAGTAATTGGAAACTTGAATTATGTATGATTGATTAAGAAAACAGTGATCGATCAAACTTGAATTCACTTCAATTAACTCTCAATTGATCGGGTATTCAGATAGGATGATGACTGAAATCAAATATGATAATGACTAAAATCAGATACAATGTGGAAGATCAACTTTTGTCGACAGAAATCCTTTATCGAGAACGATATTTTTCGATCACTTCCTTCCTTGTTTCAGTCGTTGGATATCTTTTTTATTGGCTCTGATACCAATTCAAGTGTAGAACACAAACAATTAATCAAACTAACTCTTTGATTAAGTGAGAAAATAACTCAAAAAGTCAATTGGTTTCTGCATACATTAACATGACTCATTATCTATGTATATGTATATACTCCTAAACTACCAAACTTGTAGAATAAGAATAAGAGTAAGACTAGGAAACTTAAACCAACTTACTTAAACCCCAAGAAATTGGATCCTAGAGTCCTACTTGACTTAGGAATTCCAACATGTCATACAAAAATAAAATTCATCGATATGCATTTTTTGGGTTTCAAGGATAACAAAGAATACCGGTACTTTGGTTTAAGTAAAACTATGATCGTCCAATTTACATATGCATAAATTACGTATATCAAAGTATATTAGGGAGTAAAGGCGATAAGATTAATGGATAGGTCGAGTTAAAATGACTTCTCTGTTCACGTATTTTACTTTTATAAATAATTCATCCAATTAATATATTAAAAATATGTCATGGAAATAATAATATACTTTTTAATAAAATATTAGAAAATTATAAGATTTAAATATCTTTTTGATAACTTCAGTTCATTTGAATGATATGGCCTGGTTACACCTCGTTTTACTTTTAAGCTAAATTTCTAAATTTTACTAGTATTAGGAATAAAATATAATTTAAAAGTGTTTTTAAACGATGCACATAAATATTATATGCGTATGGGTTCGTCTCCATACGCTAAACTGGGTTGCCTAAAACCTGTCTTGGACCTGGGCCACAAATTGGTATCCTGATTTAACTCGTCTTAAAATATGTCCCATATATAAATCGGTTCGAATTGGTTTGCCACAAAAACGTTTTTTTTTTTTTTTTTTTGGTAAGATTTAAGTTATAACAATTATTTTACTCAAAGAAAATGTATTTATATCGTGTCAGATAATAAAATATAAGAAAAAAAGCAAGTTCGAATTTTATTTTTCTTCAACAGTTACGATATTCTTATGTTGGTGTAGTCGTATTGTCATCTTCTTCGCGATAATTTTGGTCTTTTTTGGTGCCTTTGAATTATTTTTCATCTTCCAGTTTGACATCTTCATCATAGTGATCGCCATAATCTGTAGTAATAGAGGCAACCTTTTTCTATTTCTTGTTCTTGTATCTCATTTTTAATATGCTTGTCTTTTTAACATCGCCTTCAAATACTACGTTATCTTAAGTTATCTTTCAAGCACATACACACTTATCATTGATTGCGGTGTAAGTTTTGTTCTCTGTTGTATATTACCATGAATTTTAAAACTACCGTAGAAGCTTAGATGGTTGTTAAATCTCAAACAATTGCTGCCAACATCGAAAAATTATGGTTATATTTCCACCATACCGACAAATTTACATTTTTTAATTCCGAATTACTTGCAAAGCTCATAAAAATCATGGAAGTTTTTGGATGTCATGCCCATGGCTTAATCAGCAACCACCTCTCTTCCTAATGTAAACAAAATTTCCATGTTTTTTTAACTAGATACTCGCATATTCAAAAGATTCTAGCAAGAAACTAAAACCAAAAGTATCAATTACAAAAGACATGTTAACCAAACATTCCAATTCACATTTAGTTTGGAAGCTCGATTGTTAACCCAATTAAAAAATAAAAAAAAAAAAAAAACTGTTGTTTTCTTCTTAGTTTATTATATAATTTTGTATACTTTTATCAACTTCACTCAACTCTACATAATTTTCTCTAAAAACTTTCCACTTCACTCAAATTCTTCGGTTACCTTTAATGAAATCCCGATGCGACCAATAAAACTAAAACTATCAACATTATTATTCAGTGCAACAATTATCATTATTATTATTTATAATATTATTTTAGATTTTTTTGTTTTAAACTAACAAAATTTATTTTTATTAAAAAAAATGTTATGTTTTATTTATTTTATATTTTCTAAATTAGTTAAAAAAAAAATAATGATGTAAATGGATAATTTGATCTGGGTTGGAAAAAATATGATATAAAAAAGCTAATGTTAGGTGAGGAGGGATGGGCTTATCCTCCCAAGGATCAACTATTTTAGCTAATTTTTTCGCTGTTCCAAAAAAAAAAAAAAAAAAAAAAAAAGCTAATTTTTCTTATAATGTTAAAGTGGTTTCAACTACAGTATTAACTTTCCATAAACTGTTCGATGAAATGCTATCGAACATGCACAAGTAATTGGTTGGACCACTTTAAATCCCAAGATTCAACACAATTTTTCCAACTCCAGTTCATAATCTATCATTAACTGAATCCACAAAAAAAAAACAAGTAAACAAAACCAACAAAAAATCTTCCAAAAGCATTCAAAACTTCCTACAAAAGAGTTATTATCAAGATAACAAAAGGACTCATAATAAACCTCATAACATCTCTCAAGCTTTTCATTCTTCATCATCCTCATCAGCATCTCCACCAGAAGCCTTCTTTGCAGCCGCCTTCTGGTTCTTCCTCTTCACTCTTCCAGGTCTGCCACCTCCAAATGGACTCGTGAGTGAAAAGTCAATATGCTTCTGTGAGTCAACTCTCACCATGAAAGAAGGCACATTCACAACTTGCCTTCCCACCCTACAAAAACCAACATCCAAATCATCATTAAAAAGTTAAAACTCTTCAACAATATATAAAAACTATGATCATTATATAAATACCTTATGTGTCTTTGCTTGATGAGGACTCTAGCATGGTGGATTGACTTTGCCATACCAGTCTTGAACACAAGTGTCTGAAGGCGACGTTCAAGGAAGTTTTCAACAGTCAAGGCAAGAACATAATCGAGCTTGTTTTGACTCTCATCCAAGAGTCCATATCTGTTCATCCTTCTCATTAGGGCTTCACCTTCAAAGATCCTACGTGGGTCTTTTTCTTCAAGGGTTAGAAGCATTCTTGCAGCATTTCGGATTCTGCTAAGTGCGTATTGCACCCTCCATAGCTCCCTTTTGCATCTCAAACCATACTCTCCTACTAGCTTCAACTCAGCATCCAATCGTTCCTTCTCATAAGGGCGACGTGGCTTCTTGAAGGTTTTTCCATCTGAAATAGATTTTGGTATTCAGTTGTAATCAGTTTGATAGTGCTTCAATGTTTCTTAGATTATCAATTTTATAAGCAAGAACTGAAACAGATCATACGATGTAGACAAAATCAAACCACTCAAGCAACGTTTGGTACTTTGATTGATGTGAGAATGAACATATACACTAATAGAAATTCGGAAATCCTAAATAAGCAGACTTCAATGAACAATAGATTATAGAACCATTGGCAAATTACTGAATCAGACATCAATTCAACTGTAACACTCAATCATACGACTTAAATCGACATATATTTTTCGTTCTAAGAAATAATTCTAAGCATCTGGATGTCAAATTGGACAGGAGAAATGGGTTCTCATGACTTAAAACCTAAAACGAACAGATGAAAAGATAGAATAAAATGATGTATGTATAGAATCCATATATTAAAGAGAAAGATATAAACTTACAGTTGCGGTAGAAAGAGACGTGAACCATCGTTGTTCAACGTCGATACGGCGGCTACTTGGTTGATATTCTCCTCACTACCGGCGGCCTCCTCCCTCTGCGCTGCTTCTTAGGTAGAGAAGGTCGTAATGAAACCCTAATGCAAATATATAACATTAGGGATGGGGGCAATGGCGTTAACAAATTTGATTTTGAGCCGTATGTGGGCTGATTGGGTTACTCCTTGGGCCTTCATTTCTACCATTCTAGTTTGAGAATGATAAGAAAAAAAAAAAAAAAACAATGTAAGATATTGGACAATAAGAAAAATTATCAGTATATTTATAAATTCATAAAGTTCGATTAGACGTTCCCAAAACTACATAATCGTCTTAATTGTGTTATTTTCAAGATATATCGGCGAATGTATTTTTGGAAGTTTTCAGGCTAACCGGAGTGGAAGCAGGAAGACGCATGAGTTGCTGACGTAGAAGGGTGCAAGACGCGTGAACACCGCCCCTAGGGGCGGTGCTCTGGGTGTGACGTGGGTGCAAGGATGGAAGAAGACAGCCAATGGGAGAAGAGGAACTTGGCAACGGTCATTTCGACCAATTTTCTACCGTTGCATACTAAAAAAAATCAATTTAAAAACCTATCAACTACGACTATAAATATCTACTATTTTACTAACATTTTACACTACAAAAACACACTCTTCTCATATATTCTTTATTTTCTACCTATGGATCCAAATCAAAATACCTCACTCACTCTAAACACTCCAAATGATCCATTAGCAAATCTTGGTTACATGCAATTGATAACATCTTCGATCAACAACAACATTTATTCACCAATCTTCCATATCATTCACACTACTACCAACAACAACAACCACCACAATTCAATCAACCCCAATTTCAAGACTTTCAACAACAACCTTCTCTGCAATTTCAATCCCAAGCTTCTCAACGTCAACAATTTCACGCACAAGCTTCACAATCATCTCAAGTCTCATTATCTTAATCTCAACCTATAAACCTCGACAATGAAGACGACGACGAATGGGTGAAGAAACACAAGCAAATCGTAGAAGGCAAAAAATATCAAAAGATCCAAAAAAAACTACGCATTTGACCGAAGAGGCAGAGAAAGCATTAGCTAAAGCTTGGATTTTCATATCACAAGACGGGATGTCGGCAACGCGCAAACGGGTCAATTTTTTGGAATCGTGTTTTAGACCACTTCCACGCTTTATTAGGAAGGAAAACGAACCGGACATACGACTCGGTCAATGCAAAATGGTGTGACCTTAGAGCGACTTGCACCAAATTTAACGACGTATTTGACAATTTTAAAAATATACATAGAAGCGGTAGCAACGATTTCAACATTTTATCAACCGCGTTATACCAATACAAAATTACCAACAATGGTAAACCATTCGACAACCAAAAAGCATGGGAAGTTTGGCGTAATGGTCCAAAATGTGTTATTTATCCCGAAATTGTGCATTCGGGATCTACCACCGGCTCCAACAAAAGGGCAAGAACTTCGTAGTCGGACATTGGTGTTAACCTCGACCTCAATGATGAGTTCGACGCCACCGAAGGGGAGGGTCCACCGGACGTCCAACTTCGTCGACCACCGGGAAGGGACAAAGTGAGAAAGGGGGCGTCTTCAAGTGGAAAATCAACCAACGAGGATGCGCTAGCGGACAAAATAGACAAAACTCTATGTTTTTTAGAAAAAAAAAATTGAATCAATGGAGGAAGCTCGTCGGCGAAAAATGGCACTCACCGATCTTCAAATTTCAAACACGAAGCCGCAAATATAGAGTTTCTAACGATTACGACTATAAAGGACAGGAGATGAATTAAAGAATCGTACTGCAACTGCTAAAGAGAGATCAGAGCACCCGGTTCGTCGTGAACCTTCTCTCATAGATTCCCTTCACCAAGTCATCGCCAAAGATTGGTTTGGAACTTTCTTGAAGCATCAAGCCTGGCATCCCACAACCAGCGTAGTCCAGGCGAACTCAATAATCTGATTTCCAAAACTGTGCCCAGCCAGCCTATCCCATATCGAGCACTTATCAACGATCGACGTGACATAAGTCAAAAGACAATCTAGTTCCAAGCGAAATGGGTGTCTCCCTAAGCAAGGTCGACTCGCTCGCTTTTTGTCTCCCCCAGGTCGACTATCGTGTATCCTCTCACGGGATACGCTTGTGTTTCCCTCCCAAAGTCGGGAAACTAGTTGTCATCCTCCTCTCAAAAGGGATCGCACTTTCAGTGCTTGGAATTGCTTGAGAGATCACTGAAACCGGACCTCGACCCGGAAAATTTAAGTGAATTTTTAAAAAATCAACAAAAAGTTCTCGAAAAATATCGCAACTAGATTCTATGTTTTTTATGTTTTTTTTAGTAATTTAGGTTTAATTTTCTATGTTTTTTATGTTTTTTTAGTAATTTAGGTTTAATTTTCTATGTTTTTTATGTTTTTTTTAGTAATTTAGCTTTAATTTTTATTTTTTTAGGTTTAATTTTCTATGTTTTTTAATTAATGTAATGTGGTTTTAATTAATGTAAAATATTTATTTATGTTTGACAAAACTTCATAAATGGTCCCTGTGGTTTCAAAAATCTGAAGTTTGGTCCCTAAGTTCAAAAAACCTAACAGATGGTCCATGTGGTTTCAAAACTTTTAACAAACGGTCCTTTTTGCTAACTCCGTTAGCTTTTAGCCGTTAACTATTTTTTTATTATAATATTCTAAGGGCATTTTTGTCATTTCACTTTTGTCTTATTTAATATATATATATATATATATATATATATATATATATATATATATATATATATATTAAACCTAACCCCCAACCCGTTTTCTTCCCCACCAGACCTATCTCTGCCCCTGCCCTTCGTCTTCATCCTTAGTGACAAGAAATCGAGGGTTTGGTGTTTCGATTAACATCCTATGAACCATCCTATTAACATCCTTGACCACATAATCAGGCTTGAAGATATCAATTTCGCAAGTAACAAACTCAAGTGCAGTTTCGAGAAAACGAAGGGGTCCGATGAAATCGTGTGTGCGTATGTGAATTCGGAACTAAAATCAACTCCCTAGTTAGTGAAAGTCCTCTACACTTGTGTGTGTGTTGGATCTTGTTCCTCCTGCGACTACAAGGCATCATCTCTTTTGTTCCAATCAGGTTTGTATATGTTCAAGATTTGATTTGCAGGTGTGTTAATTTGATATGCTCAAGTTTTGATTGCATTTGTCTGGTGGAAGTACTATGTTAGAAACAGTTTTTTGATTTCAGTGTGTTAATATTGATTTATGATCAAGCTCGATCCTGATGTTAACAAATAGTGGGGTTCAATTGATAATTGGCATCAGAATGGAATCATAGGTTTTAGGCGCTTGAACTTGAACATGAATCGGAATGGAATCAGAGGTTTCAGCCGTTTCGACACCAATGGCGACGGAAAGATTTCTGTTGAGGAGCTGGTCCACGCTGTAAGGCACTAGGATCCGACATCTCTGTTGAAGAGACGGAGCAAGTGATGGCTAAACTTGACACAGACTGCGACAACTTCATCAACCTCGAGGAGTTCGTCGGATTCTACAAAGCAAACGTCGGAGACCAAGAGGGAGGAATCAATGAGTTCCATGAAGCGTTTGAGTTTTACGATTTAAACAAGAATGGGTTGATCTCGTCAACTGAGTTGCATCAGATCTTAACTTGGTTGGGGGAGAGATGTACGGTTGATGATTGTGTGACAATGATCAAGTCGGTGGATTCCGACGGTGATGGATATGTCAATTTCGAGGAGTTCAAAGAGATGATGTTGAAGAGTTGATGATGATCATCTTTCTTGAATCTTCCTGTAAATAAGTGTTTGATTTCTGATAAATAGTGTCGGATTAGAAAGATGAATATGAATAATGAAATATGAATTAGGGAAATTCATTGATCCAATTCATATAAATTAAAATGTGGAATTGCTCTTGTAATTGAATGTATCTGTAGCTTTGTTAATTTCAATTAATGGAATCTTGATTTTGGGTTGGCTACATGAAGAACAAACGATTTGGTATTCATGTTCCTGAGAGAGAAAGAGAGAGAGAGAGAGAGAGAATTAAATTATATATATATATATATATATATAAAATAAGACAAAACATCATAAATGGTCCTTGGTAGTAAAATGACAGAAATGCCCTCAGAATATTATAATCAAATAATAGTTAACAACCAAAATCTAACGGAGTTAGCTCAAAAGACCGTTTGTTAAAAGTTTTAAAACCACGGTGACCATCTGTGAGGTTTTTTGAACTTAGGGACCAAACTTCAGATATTTGAAAACCATAGGGACCATTTATGAAGTTTTGTATTTATGTTTTAAATTATATTTTTAATTTAATTTAATGTTAAAAAAATTAAAAAATTAAAAAATATATTGTAGAGTGGTAACCATTTCCAATGTCTAGTGGGTTGGTGGTGGGTTTGTAGTGGAGCTGACGTGACGTTGAGTTGACAGTGCTTTTTCGGTGGCATGGGTGTAACCACTCCCCATAGCCTTAGGAGTTTTAAATTTTAGAACGAATTACTGAAATCGTCCCCATGGTTTGTCAAAATTGCACGTTTTGTCCCTAAGGTTTTTTTTGCACTCGGACCATCCCTATAGTATGATTTTATTGCGTTTTTCGTCCCTAACCGATTTAAAATAACCTAAACACCCTTATTAATTATTTTATTTGTTTTATTTATCATTAACCTATTAAAAAAATATTTTAATAGGTGGGCCCACCTAACCCCTTATTATCCCTACTCCATATGTACTTCATCGGCCCCAACTCTCTGCCTCCCTCTTCCTCACCGGAAACCACCATGGATTACATGCTTCCTTACCGGAAACCACCACCACTCTCTTTGTTTGATGTTACAGAAGACCGAATCGGAGCAGACGTGACGTGAGGTGGTGGAGTTAATGGTGTTCGATCACCTGTGACGTGAAAATCTCTAGTGTCTCTGCCTTCTCCCCAACGTCGTCTTCCTCACCACTCTCAGCGGTCGGAGCTGCTAAATCGCCATCTCCATCTTCCGATGAATCAATGTCCAAGCCCTAAATCGCATTTCCCTTCTTATCGTTGCCTCCATCCAAGCCCTAAATCGACACTATCAATGTCCGACAATCCTACCACACGCAAAAGATTTAAGCTTTAAGCATTCAAAATCTTATTAATGTTGATTTCAGGTTTGATTTTAGGATTTGTCTTTGAAGACGATTTACAAATTCATATACCTACCTTCTTCCTTGTCAGATTTACAGAAACGAGAACCAAAAACCGATGAACTCTGGGTTTTTTTTTCTAGATTTACTGAAACAAAAATTCTGTTTGGGATTGTTTTGAGAAATTTTGGGATTGTTCTTAATGTATATTTCAGAGTTTTACAGATTTTTGTTATTTTCTTATGTATTTTTTCTAGAATTATTATGATTGTTCTTGTTCATTTTTTCTGGAATTTTTTGGATTGTTAGTGGTGTTGATGGTAGTGGTGTAATGTTGTTGGTCATGGTGGTGGTAGTCAATGACAAAGGAGGTTGTGTCGATGGGGACATTGGTGGTGTCGGGGATAGTTGATGGCAGTGGTCGTGGTGGTTGACGGTAGTGGTAGGTAAGGGTGATGGTTGTCGGGTAGGTGAGAGACGAAGAGAGGTTATTCTAGAAAGAGGATAGACAAAAGAAAGTTGTTTTTTGGCGTTGGTGAGTGGTAGTCGGCGACTGATGGTGGTGGCCGATAACTGGTGGTGTCCAATGACCGGTGGTGGAGTGGTTGGATTAGGAGTGCAAGTGGGTCCCACTAGTCAATTAATCAAATAATTCATTTTGCTTTAATAAAAAAAACTGAAAAATGAAATATCAAGGGCATTATAGTCATATCCTACCAGGGAGGGACTTTCTCCGTAAGAAAATCAAAACTTGGGAACCATCCGAGTGCAAAAAAAAAAGATAGGGACCAAACACGAAATTTTGGCAAACCACATGGACGATTTCAGTAATTTGTTCTAAATTTTAAACAAAAAGTTTATAATTAGAATTATTACACATTAAATCTAATAGACTCATACTTACACACGAGACAAAACAATCAACTAAAGAGATATTGATATCACTGCCACCAACCATATATGTTTGTCTTCATAAAACATTTATTAACTACTTAATAGTAAATGAGTTGTCATCTTAGTTTGCCTTTGTTTGTTATGATATCATTGAATATGATGTATGTATTCAATCATTCTCATTAACGTTCATATATGTTTGTTGATTGGTGAATATGAATAAGATTATCAGACATATTTGATCATCATGTCAATGTGGCAATATACTCATATCTATTCAATTCGTGAAAAGATCCGATCGATATTGCACTCCAAATTAGATTAACAAATCTCATATTGACTATATGTATTCATCATCAAGATGGAGATCATATTTGATAGTAGCATTTAGCCATTTATAAATGTCTTGCTCAAAACAACTTTTAAATACATCAAGATATAATATTTCAGTTAATCAACAACCAACATATATCTTAGGTCGAAGGATATATAGACGCGATTCATTTTTTAGATTTACCTAAGGTCCATATAGCCGCAATTACTTAAGTGTGATACATTAGAATCTTATATACTTCACTTCCATTATTTTGGCCTTCAGTTGTGATTATAAGGTAGAATCATCCTAAGAGGACAGTAAATATAACACATTTGTTATAGGGGTAAATTTATTTTATTTAAAATAAAAACTAAGAAAAATAAATTAATAAAATAATAATCTGACTAAAAGTAATTTTGGTGAATTTGTTAAATTAAGTTATTAAAATTAAATTAAATTGGAAATTATGATTTATTTGATTAAACGTGAGAAAAAATAGGTTTAACCCTTATTTAATTATTTTTAACCATCTTTGGACTAATTTTCTTAATAAGTAGATGGTATGTGGATAATATTTTAAATATTTTATTGTTAGTTGAATGTTAGGTCATTTCATAGTCAAATAATAAAAGTCGAAACTAATGGACTAAATGTGCAAATTAGTAAACTTAAGAATAGTGTCTTTAAATTTCTGTCTCCGTGTAAAGATATCACAGAGACTAAGGGTCAATTTTGAAGACTAAAGGGAAGTTGAAGTCAATTGGATGAGTTAATAAATAGCTCAAATTCCTAGCTTAAAGTATGAATCTCTAATTATCTACCTTATCTAGCAATCTAGGATTTCAAATGATTGCAAATTCAAGATTCTATAGTGGAATTGGTGTTAGAATGAACTTATAGCTTTGATTTTATCATTATATTTTGAATCACTCATCATTTCATACAGTGTTGCTCGTTTTCAACTCTATAGGGCTTTTATGAACCATAGATAATGATGAGGATGTAATTATGCATTAGTATTGGAAGTAATTATGCATTAATAAGTAGATGGTCTATGGATAATGTTTTAAATATTTTGTTGTTAGTCGAATGTTAGGTCATTTAATGGTCAAATAATAAAAGTAACAACTAATGGACTAAATGTGCAAATTAGTAAACTTAAGAATAATATCTTTAAATTTTGTCTCATTGTTTGCATTTGCAATGACATGTAGAGAGATTAGAGAGAGTAAGGGTCAATTTTGAAGACCCGAAGGAAGGTTGAAGTCAATTGGATGAGCTCAAATTCCTAGCTTAAAATATAAATCTTTAGTTATCTACCTTGTCTAGCGATCTAGGATTTTGAATGATTGCAAATTCAAGATTCTATATTGGAATTGGTGTTAGAATGAATTTATAGCTTTGATTTTATCATTAGATTTTGAATCACTCATCATTTTCCTATATTGTTGCTCATTTTCAACTCTATATGGCTTTTATGAACCGCATATAATGATGATGAGGTAATTATACATTAGATTTCGATTATAATCGACTAGTTATTATGTAATCATATATTAGACTTATCTAAGTTAAGACTTCGTTCTATAAAGCGTGAACTTCATTCGTTGAAGATTTTGAGTTTTGACTCTTTTGAGCTTTCAAGGAGTTTTAGCTCGAGTTATGATTTGAATTGATTTTTTAAACCATCAGAACCTTAATTACAAACATTAATCAAGTTTACATCATGTTAAAACAAATAATAAAGTTAACTGTTTGGTTGCACTAAAGGGTAGCACATGGTAAGCAGGGTCGAATCCATATGGACATGACTGAAAAGCCAATGCCTTTTTATGACAGACACACATTAGTCAAAACAGGAAAATTAAAAAAAGGGGGTCGAATAAAAATACAGTGTAAATAACAAATTGTAGAATAATAAAGTGCATAAAATAAAACTTGAGAAAATTCAATATTAAAAGTCGTTTAAATTTTGTTGCGACTCTCCTAATGATGCAGTTAATCCATATATGTTTATTTAATAAGCATTCTATTTAAGTTGGTATTAAAACTACTAACAAGCTCTATCAATTATCTTTTACCAAATTATTTAACCAAAACAAGTTTTATGAGTTAAGACTAACTTTTTACTAACTTAATCAAATCTCTATACATATTAAAGTAGAAACCTACTTACATCACCTAAAACAATCTGGCTTCAATGTTTTTCATTGATTATTTTAAACCACTGGATCAATTTTGTTGATGTCATTGTAACAAAAGGGAACTACAAATACACCTTTGTTACCGTCTATAACCATTTTTCCTCCAAAATAGGGATTGCTCTCTTCCTCTTTCTCTCTCTGATGAAGATAATATCAAGAGCCGATGATCTCTCAAATTTCTATCACATGTTCTTCCTCCTCAAGAGCCGATG